AGAAAGGAAGAGCGAGAAAGGAAGAGCAAGGCAATCTTTATCAGGGCTGAAGCTAGTTGCACACATCAGGACGAACACGCGGTCGGCTCTAAGCAGTGCTCACTCCTCAGGGAAAGGAGTCCATGGGTTTGACTGCCTCCAGAGGAATGTGCAGGACACGGGAAGGTGCCGGTGTTCTGGGATGTTGTTTACTTCCAAGCACAGTAGGACATGGCCCTGCTACATGGGGGGGGTTCAGAAACCACCTTGCACAGGCTGCTCCGCAACAACAGCCGGTCAGGATAACCTCCACAATCTGCCAGTGCTGCCATCCCCCTCTTCCCCCTTTCCCACACCCCACTGGAGAAGAAATCCCAAAACTCTTCTTACCTGCAGCTGCAGCCAATAAGTTGGCAGAGAAGTGATTTCCCCCCCGCCCCAGACACCTGCCATGTTATAAGTAAGGGGTAGCAGAGAAACCCCCTTGCTGCAAGAGGGCTTCAGCCATGCAGCTAGGGCTCTTGTGCCATCTGTCCACCAGTCTAGGCAAGGAAGCAGCCGAGGGAAAGGGGGAGAGCTACTGGGCAAGTGGTGGAGGCGAGGACCTACGCTGTGACAGGGAAGTGGGTTAGAGGGAGGAAAGGGTGGAGGACCTAGAGCTGCCGTCCTCCAGATGAGAGAGAGTGACAGGAGATGTGCAGGAGGGCAAACTGAAACCAGGGCAGAGTAGCAAAAAGCATGAGGTAGGGAAAAGGGAAAAAGGAAAAGAAAGAGCTGAGTGGCTGGGGTGAAGCAGCAAGGCAGGAGGTCAGATGCTGGGCAGCGGAGTGTGCTCTTACGTTTTCTTTTAATGCCAGTTCCTTTTTCTCTCTTTCTTTTGGTTGAAGGAAAGTGCTTCTGAATTAGTGATAGAAAGACGCCTCTGAAAGTAAGATGCAAAATTTATTCTAGCTACCAGGAATAGGAACATCTGCCGGTTATCATGTAGCAATGTGTATTTGAGATAGCACCACACTTCATGAAAGAGGGGTAAATCCTGCACCACAACTACCAGCGTGTGATCAGCCAGCCACTGGTATAGCGCGGCTCTCCAGAACAGCAGTAACTCAGACTGAGCGTGTTTCACCAATGGGTTCTCCCACGGGAGCGTGGGCTGCGCCAGCAGATCCTCAGCTGTGAAACGGGCATGCTGAGGAAAGGCAAAGCACTGTAATGCCACGAAAAATGCTCTCTGCCGTGGCCTCCCCACTGGTGGAGGGAGCGGGGCCGTTCCAGGGAGACACAGCAACAAAAGCAGAGCAGACCCTGGGCTCTGTGCTACCTCGTGGCATGCCAAAGTTGCAAGACCTTTATACAGCAACTAAGAGGGAGTTTTAAATGGGAAACACTATACTGGGAAGATGTTACATCACTACTGAAAAATCCAGTAAGTCTCAGTGTCCCAGCCCCTCTCCGTGCTCTGACAGCAGAGGCCACCATCAGGCTGTCCAACAAATGTGCTCCACAGAGTCCTGGTTTGCTGGACGTGGGTCTGCTTGCCCACGAAACAGAGAAAAGTGACAAAACACGGACACATGGCGGCTACAGGTGAACGGAAAAAAATCAGAAGAGGTGGAAATCAAATGTTTCTGTGGGTTGTTCTGCAAATAAAAGAGCAGGTGCTTAAACGCTGATCATGTTGGGCAGGGATGAACCCCTAGTGCAATGAGAAAGCAGCGCTGAATGAGCTCTGGTTGGGAACAAAAACCAAAACAAAATGTTGAAAGCGACAGCTGAGAGGTATGGACATGACAACTCGCCCGAGTGAGAACAAGGGAGTCTTGGGAACCAGGGAGGGAGCTCTAAGACCCTCGGTGTGCGGGGCTGAAGGAGGCAGAGGGAGCGCGGCTCCACGAAGGGGCAGGGCCCTGGGCTGGTTACTGAGTGCAGTTACAGGGCACCGGGAAGGGCCCTTTCGTCCTCTGTGCTGGGGTGACCCTGGGCTCAAAATGCAAAGACTCACTCTCAGGTCTGGAGCTCCCCTGCCATGAAACCGTGCTCATTTTCTGTACACTTGCACTCCCTGTCTTCCCTTCAAACAAAGGGTTGGGCTGGTATTCACTCACTGAACAATTCGTTTATTTTTAACCCCGTTTCTCGGCATCTCTTAAACAACTGCTTCTTCCCAGCACACTCCCCTCAAGAAATCCCCTGAAGTGCTGTAAAACCAGGATGCCTCATTTGGAGGCTCAGCAGATGCCAGAAGACACTCAGTAATCTGGCCAACACTGCTGAACAAAGAGCTCTTGCCTCTAGAACTGGGGACAGACTCAAGCAGTATGCGTGATCACTAACAGACCCTTCCTCCTTCGACAGCTGAGCAAGGCTCAAAGGGACCACGTAGTCCTCTAGATCGAGTTCCTCTGAATTCTGTGGCATGAAAACCAATCCAAGAAACCAAATCAATCCAAGTAGTTGCTGGCCTTGCCTTGCATACCGTCACCAAACCTGTTTTTCAGGAATGGACTGGAGACAGCAGAGTGACACAGAACAACACAAACCCCGCATCAATAAGGGAGGAAAACTTGGCCTGAACTGGACACTTACTGTCTCTGGCATTTCTCATTGCTTTCACCCGCATCAAAAATCACTGCAAAGGAAAATGGTAACAGCCCTGCCACCCGCAGAACAGAGGAAACGCCAACTCAACCCAGGGTCCCAAGTTTTCGTCATCCATCGTGCAGGAACAGCAACGTTCGTGGGACAGGCTGGTATTTTGAAAGCTGCAGAAATAAGCCTCATTCTCTGCTGAAGGGGTAGCATGAGTCCTGCTGCTGGCTTCACTTCAGGCACAACCAACTCTCCTTTTAGCTACGAACAAAGGCAACACAACCAGGACACGGGTCCTGCCTTGTACATGTGCTGAAAGCCAATGCTCGTGAATCTAAACTCCTTGGACCATGCCTTCCTCCCGCTGCTCCAGCAATGCCGCCTCACATTACCACCTCAGCCTCTGTCATTACATGAGATGCTCTTGCTCATTTCTTCAGTGTCGACAGCCCTATTTTCCAGAGTCAGACCCACACAAACTACATCTGAGCTCACATTTCTGGCTCTCCTACAACTGCCAATTCTTTCACATGTGTAGAGAGTCGGATCAGGCTGTTCATGCAAGTTTGGACCACAGGAGACTTCAAAATCCAGGATCTAGCTCATAAAGTCACGCTGAAGAAATAGTGCCTCAAGGGCCCAGCTAACTGTCCTTTCCATTTACAGTTTGTATAGGGCAAGGCGTTATGAAACTGCATTTCAAGAACTGCAAGGGATAAGTGGCCCCAGGGCAGGGCTTTCCCTAGCACGCCTCCAGCCTCCCATGCATGCCCCCAGCAGAAAACCAGGGATTTTTAACTCACTCTGCAGCAGAGACAAAACAATTTAGATGCCCATCGTTCTCGTCCAGGACTTCTCTGGTGCGAGCCTCCCCAGTGGACTGCAGGCCAATGACGATACACTGCAGGGAAACACAAGGGATAGCACAGCAAGGTGTCAGGGAGGGTGTACCGCAGCCAGCAGTGGAGCAAACAGCTACAGGTTCAGGAGATTGCATTTCACAGTCCCAGCGACATTTCCCTTGGACCCTGTCCCAAATACTTGTTGGGCCTGTTGCAGGGCTCCTGATGAAGAACCATCTCTCACATCTTTCAGCATCCCAAACCATACCTCTGCTCACACCACAGAGAGGATAACTCCAATTACAGAAGCTAACCGACTGCGCTAGGTAGTTTCTGCCTAAAAGTTGCATCCAGATGGATGAAAGGACAGAGCTGTGCTCAAGGTGAAAGATCTGGTATCTCTTCTAGCTTGAACACGACCCATAATACCCTTTCAGCTCAGCTTGCCCACACCTACCATAAACGAACAGCGGCTAATGCCTCGGAAGATGAGGCTGTGTTAACTCTCCGGTACCATTTACTGTGAATGCTCTCAGAAACCCGCACACTGCATTTCATTCTGGTTAATCTGGAGAGAAATTCAGCCTTAAAGAGGTCTGAAATTGCTTTCAAGTCAAGCTCAACAATAATTAAGTCCCTTTGGTGGCAGACTACAAAAAAAAAAAAAAAATCACTTGTAATGTAAGACTGATGGCTGCTGCCACTGCAGCGAGGCTCCAATACCACACCTTATCCTTTGCCAGCTCTTCCCTGGCAAGCTCAACGAGTCGCCGGACTTTAGCAGCAATGCAGAGATACTTGAAGAAGCGCTGGTGAGCTGACCAGAACTGACCCCACAAGGATTTCCGAGACTCCAAGCCAATCCAGTCGGCTGCCTGCTGGAACACCATCAAGGCCTCTGCCCACTGCAGACAATATTGAGAAAGGCTGAGTTAATATCTTAGTTTTCATTTTCGTTACTGCCATGCAGGAGGTTATTAGAACAGTCTGGGGTTTGATAATCTCATTTAACATCAGCATTTATGTCGCTACATTAGGCTGAATGAACAGTCTGGTCATTCTCTCCTTTCCGCATTAGCAAGCTCTGGTTTCCAAATATGGAACTTTTAAATAGAAGTAAAAAAGTATAAGACTTCTTTTTTTTTTTTTTTTTTTGACATAAGTTGAGCATGTGTACCCCTTTTCTTTCTTATGAACAAACTAAGTTTGTGGTCATGGTCACGTTTAGGGTCCTCAAACCCTCCCACATAACAAGTGGCTGTGCCCAAAGTGTCTCCCCACTGCAGTGGGACCAAGCTCACCAACTTCGCCGCCTTGTCGTAGACAATCTTGTACTGCTGATCTAGCGGGATCTCCTCGATTCTGAAGGTCACTCCAGTGAAACTGAGCTGCCTGGCAATGTACATTCCACTGACCTTCATATCCATTGCCACGATCTCCATTGCACCAACTCCCCTGGGAGAGAAAGATAGCTGTGAAACCCCTTCTGCCCCAGGGCAGCACCGGGTAGGTGCCTCTGCAGAACCCCCACCTCTCCTGGCTCAAGCTGCCCTCAGACACTGTCCCCAGGCATCGCACCCATTTCCCAAACAAAGGCTGCGTAAGCCACATGAAAAGGGATGCTGGACATGACTTACCTCTTTTCAATTGCATGCAGGAACTCATCAAATGCTCTGAAAGGGGTGCCCTCCCCCCAAATCCCCAGGCGGCTCATATAAATCATGTTTTTTGGCTCAGAGGCACCTGTTTGAACAGAATTCACTGTTAGCAAAACCACAGCAGTTGTGAATAGTTTTGACTCAAGTAAAGTGAACTCTGAAGAGGATGGTCATTTGCCATCATGCCTGAGGAGACCCAAGGACCTTTCCAAACATTGCCCTCCACACACTAAGTGGGCAAGCATCATCATACAGCTGAACAGCTGGCCAGGAACAAGTTAAACTGGACAGAAATGAGTCTGACTTGCCAAAAAGTCACAAGTAATGGCAGTGATGGGGCTTGGGGCAGATCTTAGCACCCTGGGCTGCCCTCTAGCACTGCAGCAGCATCCACCTCTGCTTGCATGAACATGTACTCTCCAAGTCTGTGCTCGCATCTCAAGGGCATCCTTCAGATCAGAGGTGACCGGCGACTGTTTACGCATGGCACCCACGCAATGCCGAGAGCAGCTTACCTGTGGCACTGGCATAAACAACCCTTGCTTGAGGCAGCTTGTTCTGAAGGTCCAGCACTGCTTTGCCCATTTTAGTAGAGCTGGCATTTTTGGCTTTGTGGCATTCATCAAACACAATCTGGAGGGGAATGTCAGTTAAGGAGAAAGGATCTATTTTCATCCCGAGGATGGGAGCAGACAGAAAATATAACCCAGCCTCCTCCAAGCAATTGAACAACCAGTCCCAATATCAACAGGACTGACTCCTTCCCCACACTGCATGAGATCTGTTGGTTTTGCTTAGTCCTGTGCTCCTCAGAGCCCGAAGTCATTTCCCCCTCCCTCTCCCTTCACTTCCAAGGTGTGTCTTCTAATGCTGAGGGAGAAGAATGCTGAAAAAGGTTAATCCCAGCTGCATTCTTCCCCTCCCCCATTAACACTGCAGCCTTTGGGGAGGAGGAGAGAGAAGCGTGGGGGGATGCATGGGCTTACAGCATTTAAATATCTACCACCGGCACCAGGCTGCTCGGCACAGCTGCTCCCAGTGACTTCAGACAGCCCCAAGCTCTTTGTTCCTTGGTGAAGTACAATCACAAGCACGCAATTCTGTTTAGGTTTTTTTTTTTCTTTGGGTTTTTTTGTTGTGTTTTTGTTGTTTGTTTGGTTTTTCTTTTTAAAGGATACCACTCCATCAAAGTTTTCCCTGCACCAGTCCAAAATTTGTTTTAAGCGTGTCCTGTGCTGTCCGCCTGCCTGGCTTTCACCAATCAGCGCAGAGTAAGTGGCAAAGAGGACTCCTTCTGAGGTAGCTGTGTCACCATATTTAATCTGCAGAGAGAGGAAGAACAAGAGCACACACACTCATGATGCTTGTCCCCAGTACGTTGTGCCCACCCTTTGCCCACAATCAGTACCACTGACTGTGCTGTGACTGCGCAGGACGCGTGCTCCTGCCTCCAAGAACAAAACTCAATCTGAGAGCAGAACAGACAAAAGACTGTTGGTAGCTGACGTCTTTAGCACTTCTATTTGGCACTGAGATATGGTGATGACAGGGACTTTAAACGTCTGGGTAAGTTCCACTAGCCCAAGTGTCAGCACATCTGGATGCAGGCAGTGAAACGTGGAGACCATGCTAGGACTTCCATTTTCTGGCCAACTGAAGTCACTTCATTTTTTTAAGCAACAGTTTAGAAAGTTTAATTGTTTTGACCCCTCCCATCTGTTTTAATTACTTCCAGAAAATATTTTCCTCTTTGATCAGGTGAGATTGTTGCCTATCTTACTGTCATGGGTCTCACCTGTAATGAAATAAAAGGTAGGGGAAAAAACCCACAGTCCCAATTTGAATAAAGTTCCATTTAAAGCCTTTTTAGTCTGAACACAAACATCCCTTTCAGTCTCTTAATGGAGTGCATTCAGAGGTGTCGAACACATGTGGTTTCCATTGACTTTGTAAGGGCTGCTTGTTCAATACCATTAAAAACCGGAGGAGAGTGTTTCAGTGAACTTGCAGACACAAGCCTGCACAAGGCTGATGCACTGGACAAGAGACTAAAGCACAGGCTGTGAAGAAGCCTGCGAACAGCCACTACACAACTGCTGGTCGTTTCTTTTGAGAAACACTTCATCCTCATCACTGAGTAACTGGAACAAAGTCTGAAAATTCTCTGATTTGCTCAGCTGGGGGGAAGTGCCCACGTGCTCAGCCATGGCACCATGCGTCTGCAGCCCCTTGCCAGGCACCAATCTGTGCATTTATATGTGCTCCCTTACTCGTATGCTCTGAAAACCGGTTCCATGAAACCAGCGCTGGGAAACGTTAGCTCACGAGAGCACAGCACGGCCACATCTGACGGGAGCTGTTCCCTCTGCAGGATTCCTCAGGAATGGTGAAAAAGTTTGAAGTCCTGCTGTACTTTGCACTTGCCCAGAGAAGCACGGCCACATCTGACGGGAGCTGTTCCCTCTGCTTGTTTGAAGTCCTGCTGTACTTTGCACTTGCCCAGAGACACTTCTCGCTCGCTGCAGGAAACAGCTCTGTGCTCACAGTGCAGCTCTGCAGAGCGTATAAAAATATCAA